GAAGAGCGTGGGAGGGTTGAGTTGACTTGGCCGTAGGAAAGATGAGAGACATGTAGTGGTCTGACATCTTGTCAGGCGTTCCTAGAGACAGATGAAGGCAGTAGCCAGCCCTGGACCAGTACGGTTTACACACCACTCCCCAGCCTGCTCTATTCTGCTAATACTTACTGCATGGTTTTCTAACAGATTTTTCCATCCCGATGATAAACTAAAATGATAAACCTGGAGTCACCTGATCTCTGAGATTATTCCTAATTCTATCATATTTACAGGTTAAAACGGCAACATGCTTTTCTCAGGTGGTGAATCTGTTTATCGTCTTCATCAGAGTGCATTTGTTTTTGTAAGGCATTTATACTGCTGTTGGCATTTATATGCCAAAAAGTTAGGAAAAATTCAAAATGGCCCATGGAATTTCAGAATTAAGTGTTAACAGACTGACTGTTTCTAGGACTTCTTGATATATCAAGATGTGTACCGCAGAAGTTCATGCTTAAACTGCGTGGGACAGAATTACAGTAAATAGGCAAACAGTCAGCTCAGCTGCTCATTTACATATTAATAAGCCTCTGTTTTCATTTTTTCTATCTAGTGCTATGGCGGTGCTTCAGTACTGTCGTAATATTTCTTTTCCTTTTGGATGAACAAACAAGTTTATTGGTGCTGATCCCAGCAGGCGTTGGTGCAGTGATCGAGGTGAGTTCTTAAAGCACTAGAACCAAATACCAGCATTCACAGCAACCTCCATAGCTTATTGCAGAAAAAGAAGGCTAATGTAGTCTCTGGGAAAATGCTGCTGTCGTATACTGTCTTAGCAGCATTGTTTTACTGGCTTTCAGTAGTAGAGGAGATTGTATCCCATTACCAAATAACTAAACTGGAAGTATCTTTTTTTTTTGTTTTTTGTTTATTTGTTTGTTTTGTTTCCTTTTCTTTGGGGATGGGCCAGCTGGTATTGTGTAAACCAAACAGAACTATGCTGAGGCTCCCTTCCTGTCACATCATCTGATAGGCACCACTCCTGGCCAGGCATGTCTGACCCTGTCAGCAAGCCGTCACGGAAACATTTGTCAAAGAGCAGGCTGTGTGCTGTCAGGCTGTGCCACAGGTCTGCAGCTCTCTGCCTCACCATGACCGAGGTGCTTGGGGAGGGAGGAAGAAGAGGCGACTGCTGCCTATGTTCTTTAACCCAGAAGACCTTGTTCAGTCAGTTGGTTGCAGGTACTGCTTGGAAACCTGCTTTCTGTAGGAAAGCACAAAATCAGCAGGGCAGGGGAGATCTCTTTACTTAGCATTGCTTGCAGATCTATTTACTGTTCAGTATTCAAAAACAAGTTCAGGACTCTTACGTGGAATTTTTGACTATGCATCTGTTATAGTTGCAGATAATCCCTGTGGGGACAAAATAGTTCAGAATTTTTAGTCGGTAATTAAATTGTTGAACGCAAAGTCACAAAATGATCCCTAAATTTCAGCTTATTGTGTAAAACAGATTAAGATCTTGTGAAAGCTATGAACTAAATAGTACCATTTAATTTTTATTTCAGTAAGTTGAGATCTTTAAGTCTGATGCGTTTGTGTGTTAAATTTTCTGTATCAGATTTTTCAGTGTTTTTTTCCTGTAAATAGCAGTTCAGTCTTATATTTTCAAACTTTCTTTAGCTGACTGAAATTTTAACTAGATTTCATGGATAACTAAATATCCCTATAAGTATAGTACTTGTGTAGAATGTATTTTTTGTTTGATCCTTTTAATCTAACTAAATTTTTAAAAAATCTAAAGACTTCAGAAATCCAGTAGTGTCAAATTATTTAAAAGTGAGTCAAAGAAAGTGATGCTTTTCTTTGTAGTGGGGAAGAAGAAATAGCGCTGGTCTCTAAATCACTTTTTTTTTTTTCAGAAGCTTTAGTGGAAACCAAATGAAGCATGTGTGGTGGTAGGGTCACAGGAATGGTCAGTTATGCTGCAGAATTTAAGTGCAATTAAAAGTGTTAAGATTTTGCATTTCACTTTCATAATGAAGATGGCTTTCTTAGTTGCTGCTACCTAAGAACAGGCAGATTCAGGTCTCATTTGGTCACTGTGCCTGTCTGAGATTCTTCTTGGAGCTGCCCAAAGATCTGTTAAACAGATCTCTCGCAGATCTCTGGTTCCTACGACTGTTGGCCTCCTGTCTTTCTCATGCACCTCGATTTCCAGTCTGTTCCTGTTGAATTGCAAGCTGGGGGAACTGGGTCGAAAGGTTTATATAGCAACACTGTGTGGGACACTTTAGTGGAGGGGAGATGTTCTGTAGGTTCTGTTGAAGTAACATATCTCTCCTGGCAAGTGATGGTGAGATAACAAGGTTTTGAGGTCTCTATGTTCATTCTCACCTTGAGACATCTCAAAGGAATTTCTCTGCTGGGAAGAGCTTTCTCACAATACCTGTTTCTTTTGCAGCATTAGTAGTGACATTGCTTCTGTAATAAGTAATTTTCTCATTTGCATCAAGGATGACAGCGAAGGGGATTGTCTTTACCATATTGCCCTTTTTTTATCTGAAAGACAGGATGGGTAAGAAGAGAATATGGGTGTACCTGAAGTTAAACAAACCTTGTCCACAAAAAGCTTCATGGCACATAGCTCTCCTGGTGAGCCTGCATTGTCAGAGCCGTTGAATCTGTATGGCAGGGTGGGTACATGAGTGACTTTTCAAGTGAGCTGAACCTTTTATTACATTAGGGTTAAGCTGTTAGGGCTGTACAGAAAGTAGCCACACAATTCAGTGGATTCCCTGACTTTTGCTTGTAGACCACTACCGAAGCGTAATGTCTGTCTAAGTGCCTGTGGAATCACTGTTAGTTCTGCATCTTGGAGACCCCAGCTGACCTCCCAGGCATGTAAAAACTTGCTTGGAGGTGGCTACTGGAGAATTCTCTAAATGCCTCACCTGTGGTGCGTGCTGGTGCTGAGAGCAGCTAACCCCCACCTACGTGCTGCAATGCAGATATCCTGGAAGGACTAATTTTTTTTATTCTTAAAATACATCATCTGATATGGAGACTTAATAATGCAGGCTCCCAGTGTTGTCCTTGTCTGGTGGCATGGCGTTTGGTTTGTAGAGACACGGGCAGCATGCTGCAGTTAGGCTGTTGCTGCTTTATGCAGTGGGTGCTTAAAATAAGTATCCTGGGGTCTTGATTGTGATTACCTGAATCCTGCATAAGACATTCCTCTGGATAATCTTTTCTGTGCACGTTTTGTTTTTGCTAATCACAGCTCTGGAAAGTGAAGAAAGCTTTGAAAATGACAATCAAGTGGCAAGGCTTGAGACCCAAAATTCAGGTATAGTAGACATTGGCGTGTTAACGATTACAGTATTGAATTGTCCATCTGTTTCGAGAACACCATGCAACTTGGCTCTAGTTTTTCTAGTGAAAAGAAGATTAAAAAAAAAAAAAAAAAAAAAAAAAAAAAACCAACTATCAAAGTTTCCTGTGCACACCTTCTCTTTCTGGATGGCTTAACCCAAAAGGTGGATGAGCATTTTCAAACTTAGGAATTTTTTTGAGTTCTGTAGGAGCAGCAGCTATTTGTCTGTACTTATCATAGAATCATAAAATCCTTTAGGTTGGAAGAGACCTTTAAGATCATCAAGTCCAACCATTATGGTGCAAGAAACTTCAGAACTCCTCTGCCAGTTCTGCTAAATGTTAACAGGTGGGACTGTGCTCTGCCACTGTGCTGGAAAGGCACTCTTAGAACTGAGATCCTGATCTGAAGTAATAAACTGAAGTTTTCATGAAGATGTAGGTATAACTTCTCCATTGTGAAGCTGGTAGAAGGTGTAACATTTTCTGGGGACAGGACAGTTTTTGACAAATCCTCTGGGTAAAAAGTCCCGAGAATATTTGCAGGACAGGCAGTGACAGCAGGGATTAAAATTAACTCTTTCTTGACAAGAGTGTAATCTTTTTAAAGTGCAGTCTACACTGAAAGTTTACCATGTTGGTAGGAGAAACAGTTGTGTGATTTCTAGTGTTGACCTCACAAGAAGTACTGGAGTTTCGTGCTGCTTGAATTCTATACATCTTGAGCAGATGATAGCTCTGGTTGGTCCTTTGTCAATATTCAAGGACCTGTGTTTAAGCAGTCACAATTTCTGGAGATAATCCATAACTAACCTCTTCATATGTGAAAATGCTTATGGTTTTTAATAGTGGCTTCCTGTATCTGCCAAATTCTTGGCCATTTGACTTTGCTTTTTTTTTTTATTTTTTGTGAACTCTACTATCGTAACAGCATTTTCTTAAGCAGAGAAGGCTTGGATACTTGGTGTAAAATATGAAGGGGGAAATTAAACTTTTTGCCCACCCTGTATTTAGGCTGCGCAGGACATGTGACTCTCGTGTAGAAGCCTGTAAGAACTTTGAACTGTTACCTGGCTTAATGTCTGAGCAGTTTCGTTTGCAGTTTCAACCTCTGTTTAGGTCGGACAGCAAGTGCTTTCTTCTCCTAGTTCTGACTTGTTTATACTTTTTATATGTATTTCAGTTTGGTACATACAATGACTCTGAAAAGAAAACTGAGGAGTATGATGCCCAGGTAAGAGAGAATTCTGTGACTTTTGATATACAAAGTCTATGTATGTGTGTCTGTCTATGCGGATTGGCTTGCTTTGCTTTTTATTGCTAGAAGTATATTTCCCATGTGTTTGTCATTGTCAATTAGATCATCATTACGTGGATAATAAGATAATGAAGACTGATTCTAATAATTTATGAAAAGAAACAGTGAAAGAGTAGTTTTGCAAGCTGAATTTGGCTGAAGCATTTCTCTTGAGAAGCAGAATTGCAAGTGACTTATCTGAAGAGAAATATATTAAATAAAATTAAACCACACAAATTTGAAAATTGCTATTTGTGCTAGTTATTTATACTGGAGGAATGTTTATGTGTTTCCTGGAAGGAGCTGAACTTAGGTGGCAACATCGGTGTTAAGTAGAGAGCTACTCTTACTCGGATTTTTGTGCTGCCTCTTGGTGCCTATTCTCTGAAGTGCTTAGTTGTCTGAACCATGCATTGGAATTTTAACCACCTTTTCTAGAAATGGAAGCATACTGGAAATAATAGCAGACATTTGGGAACAGGAAAAGATTTTCAGGGAAAAAAATTGTGGCTCTATTCTAGTTAATGCCATGAAAAGTGTGCTGTGTATAAAATGTGATCTGATAAACTGTTTTCTTTATCTGTTAGGCTATGAAATACTTGTCATACTTGCTCTATCCACTGTGCATTGGAGGTGCAGGTTACTCCTTGCTGAATGTCAAATACAAAAGGTACTGCAGATCTATAAAATGATTTTATACAGAATTGAAACATTCCCCATTTTTCTGTATGAATTAATTGGAGATGATTGGTTATGGAAATCAGTTATTTTAGTTTGTATGACTCAAAAGCCAGGAAATGGAAACTTCCTTGTTCTGTAGGATCTAAAGGTGAGGAGTCTAGTTGGATTTTTTCATGTCCTGTAAGCTCCAGCTGTTGTATTTCACAAGTAACCTAATACGACTCTAGTGGAGAATTCAATGGCTTGTGTGTATGAGTAACCTGTCAAATCAGAAGAGGAGGAAGGAAGCTGCCATTGATGTTCAGAGACCTGATAAGGTGACAGTCGAGATGAGAGGAATTCAGTGGTTGAACCTGTCCTGTAACAGAAGCAAAAAGTGTCCCCAGATTATTTTCTCTGACCAAGAGGTTCCTCTGTTCCTAAATACACTAGCTAGGATGGCAAGCAAGCTAAAGTGTTTTTAAGAACTCTTTATTCCTTTAGAGCAATGGACTTACTTCAACATTTTGATACTTTAGCAAGAGCTGAAGACTCAGTATTGTATGAAAATGTGAAACTCTTGTCCATTCGCTCAGAATAATACAGCTAAATCATTTTGTATCGGAGAGATGGAAGGAGATGCAAGCAAGTGTGCAGCCGTGAAACTTTGTTGTAGAAAAACCTGCAAATGCAAGTGTGGTGATGGCCATGTCGATTTTGTTGTTGTTGTTAGTCTTTAGACCCAAAAGGGGTGGGAGGAAGAGCAAGCAGTGACTTACAATAACATTAAAAAGAGCTACTGTTACTGCATACATGAGCTGTAGTGCATACACTAGAAACTGGAGCAATTTCTGGGCTATTAGAAAAAGAGCTGTTTCAAAAAGTTCTTCACTTAGTAAGGAGCTAACAAATATGTAGCATTTAAAAATTCTGCTTTTCTCACAGATTTCTTGCATTTATTCAGTACCACAAAATGCTGTGTGCCGGGTGCTTTATGAGTGTAGTCAAAACCATTCATATAATAGAATTTTTATCATTGTTAAATCTGTTTGTAAGGAAATGACAGAACAAGTAACCTTAACCGTGGATTATCCTTTAATCTTGTAGGCATTTTCTGATGCATTTTTGAGATGCTTGTGGTTTAGTGAAGTGTTGCCACAGCTGTAATGTTGCTGGTAACGTGTCACTAACACATCAGTGGAAGTTTAATTTTAAGTTATGGAACCCGAGCATCACAGTTATTAGCTGTTCTTCCTGCTGCAAGCAGAAATATGGAATTTGCCAACTATCTGTAACACTGCTGTCAATTTGCTAAGGTAGTGCTCCACTGGACATCTGGGAAGGGCTGCTAGATGTAAGCAGGGAAAGATGCAGACTCCTTGTATATACCTTTTTTTTTTTAATTGTCTACTATAGTGATTTGCACTGGATGGTATTTGTTGTTTGAAATTTTACAGTGGCATATTAAGTGTATCTTTAGTCTGTAGAATACAGTGTTACCTTGACAAGCCTTAACACAGGGTTCAGTGCACAGAACTTTCTCATGTCAGCTTGGGTGCTGAAGTCTTAGAACGTTCTGAAGAAATATAAAAACAGTTGATAAAACTCTCCAAGCTTGTATAGACTGATAAGCATCCTCTGCTTAAATTACCTTCTCTGGAGCCTTCCTAATGAAGATTTGGTATTTAGTTCTTGTGTGAAGTAATTCACAACGTGGCTGTTTCTTGGAGTAATCAGCATAGTCATGTAGAGGATGTATTACAGCTATGTATTTTTGGCTCAAGTGAGAAATTAACTGGACTGTCTTCTTTCTTTGCAGCTGGTACTCATGGCTGATTAACAGTTTTGTCAATGGTGAGCCACTTTTTTTTTTTTTTTTCCTATTCATATTTCTTCAAAAGGACACCGAGGCTCAGTATTAGAAAATGAACTAGCAGCTGAATCAGTGTAATATAGAGCAGTACCTTGACTGTAAGTTCCAGAGTTATCACAGTGATTGAAAAAGGGAGAAGAATCAACCCAAAGTGAACAAAAGGATTAGATGCTTCTTCTCTCTTTAGAAAAATCAGTGTAGATGTCTAACTGTGGAATTATAGTTGTGTGATGTACTTCTACTGTGCATTTCTTTCTAAGTTTTCCATATTTTATCTTCAGGAGTATATGCTTTTGGATTCCTGTTTATGCTGCCCCAGCTGTTTGTAAATTACAAGGTGAGATTAAAAAGTGATAACGACTACATCTCTAGTCTCTTCTTCCAGACTTAGTTAAAAATTGATATTTTTATTCCTAGATGAAATCTGTCGCACACTTACCATGGAAGGCTTTCACATACAAAGTAAGTAAAGCTCTAATTTAAGGATTGCTGCAGTCATTTTGGAAATAAATTTCTGCAAGAAACAGCTTAGTACATGTATCTTAAGGCTGACAGTGCTTTGTTTAAGAACTAAATTTATTTGCAATTGTCCTTTAAAAAAAAAAATACTGATTTTGATTTTTTTCATGACTTATGTATAATGAGAATACTTGCTTCCTAGTTTTGATGATAATATTGCTTTTTTGTACTGTCAACTGTCTTGCGTGGCTGTGCAAATGTTGGTCCTGCAAATGAATTAATCAGTCTCAGTGTAATGCATTCTTTTAGGAAGAGAGACATTATATTAACAAAGGCTGTTTCTCAAGAAACAGACAGGACCACTAAGAGACCTTATTTTGGCAGGTTCCAAGAGCTACTGCAGAGTGAAGTAATGTACACACTGTTCTGTGCTGGGGTGGTGATTCTGAGCTTCTGGGCAGTGCATTTGTGGTTCCTGTTAAGGTGCCAGAGGCTACCCACAACAAAGGCTTGTGTGTATGTAGAAATAACTATATGACATTTTAAGTTATTGGGCTTTGGAGGGGGTAGTTTACTTTTTTTTCTGTCAGATATTTAAACTTATTTGCTCTCTTCTGCACTTTGAAGAGTGGAAAGCATAGTCTGAGGTCTCATCTGCAGTTGTAGAAAGCTTTGCTTTTTTCCTTAATATGAACTGTTTCCTGATTTGGAAGACCTTGGAAAAATTAAGATTATTCTAACTTTGCAGTTTGCTGTCTTTACATGTATACCCTTTATACCTGACCTCATTTGAAGGTACTCCTCCTAAATTGCAAAAGAAAACTAGCTAAACGCTCTTAGATGGGCTGCCTTCCTGCAGTCAGTTTCAATGGCTTGTGAGGGCTGCCTAAGTGCCTGAAGGATGGAATATTTCACTTTTTATTCCTTTCATCATTGTAGGATCAGTCACTTGGGAGTTGGCTTGGAAAGGCTGCATTTCCACCTTGCCAAGGTGGTTTTTGTGCATGCCAAACTTTGTTGGCACAGGGTCGAGAAGTGCCGTCCGTATTGTTTGATCACCTTGGATTGATGGATTTGTTTTGACTTGCCAGAAAGAGCTTTTCCTCTTGGAACTGATCAGATCTCTCTCCTGTCCAACACCCCGTCTCCTGACGATGCCTTAGTTCATCATATGAACAGTGCTTCATTTTGTAGAATGAGTCCTCCTGTGCTTCAAGCATAGATCGTTTCTTACTGCATGGCTTAATGCTTACTGCTTGCTGATGTTGAAAGGAGAAGCCGTGTTACCAACTCAGTTTGTTATCCCAACAGGGAATATTCCTTGCTAGATTTTTTTCCTGCTGGTCTTAGTGACTTGAAACAGTTGATTGCACCATATGAGTACTAGAGCTGCTGTGCTGTGAGACTCGATTCATAGTCCTTCTAGTGGGCCAGAGCCAGAGGAGTTGCCCTTCTCTTTACGACTTTACTTTCTCTGACAAAACACCGTTGCCTTTGCATGCTTGGAGCCTGTTTGCATTGCTTTCTCAGCAGATGTCTGGGAATTCACATTTTCTTAGTCAGGAAAAAGTAGTAAGAACGTATTTCATTATGTTTCAGAAATGGAACCTGTGGTATGCCAGCTCTAGTTGAGTGGAAATGGTGTAGAAAAGTCAGTCTCAAACAAGGGATGGATGATTACTTCCAGGAGAGCACTGAAAATATTTTAAACAAGGCTTGTCAAATTAATGTTCTTAAGAACAATAAATTAACAACTTTTTACACATTTCAAATTCCCACAGATAATGAAAGGGAACTGACATTTTGTAAGTCTTAAGTAATTTGAGTAGTAAATGAGTAAAAGGGTGTTTTCCAGTTCCTTTAAAAAATTTCACTGAAGTTGAATTCATGTTTTTCCCCTCGGATGACAATACTCTCACTTACCTGAAGTAGTCCTACTTCCTGTTTACTTGTAACTATAGTAGTGTGGTCTGTGGTACACGGTATGGTCTTCAATACAGAAAGCACTTTAAAGGTTGCCTTCATTCCTTTTTCAGCATAACCCATAAGTGGTGTTGTAAACACGGAAGTAGTCTTGTGTTCCTACTGAAAAACACACTTCTAGGAAGCCTCTTCTCTGTAGGTTTGTATGACATGACTTCCTTTCTTCACAGCCAACTGAAGTATACTTTTCTTTTCTTTGTAGGCATTCAACACCTTTATTGATGATATCTTTGCGTTTATCATCACTATGCCAACATCTCACAGGCTGGCGTGCTTTAGAGATGATGTTGTGTTCCTGGTCTACCTTTACCAAAGATGGTATGCCATGCC